TCGCGTGATACAGAAGGTATATGAAGGTTAGCATGAATTAACAAAAGCTTTCAGGTAGATAGAATGATTATTATAATGAAAAGAAAGAAAGAAAGAAAGAAAGAAAGAAAGAAAGAAAGATGTTCGAGTGATACAGAAGGTTAGCATGAATTACCAAAAACTTTTGGACATAAAGATTATTATAATGAACAGAAAGAAACAAACAAAGATGAGGCTGTTAAGACAATTGGAGAAAGAGAAATATATGAAACTTCGTGAAACATCTAAGTGAAGTGAACAGAAAAGTTATATATATATATATATATATATATATATATATATATATATATATATATATATATATATAGAAAAAATAAATAAACATGAAAAACGGAAGGTAATAAGAAAAAGAAAGATTCAATGATAAAAAATGTTAAACGTCATAATAAAAATAAGAAGCTATTATTTCTTCTCGTATCTCAAGTTTTTTTTTGTCAGTGACGCTTGAAAAGATAGCATCATTTTCCTTTCATTATTCACCCCAATTTTCTTGTAATATATCTCCCTATTTGTTACCCGGAGGGGTACATACGCTCATGTACAGAAGCGCCCCCGAAATTGTCGCAAAAAATGGCGTGGTAAGGATTATGAGACGCTAACTAGAATATGTGAGAAATAACATGGAAGACAAAAGAGGGGAGAAAAAAAGCTGATGTTGATGTTTCGATAGAAACAACGACAAATGGCTAGATATCTTGACACGGTTTTCAGAAACGGTGTGGAAAAACGTGTTAAGCATTTGATGCTTTTCTCTCTCTTTTTACTTCTCCCTTTGTTTTATTTTATGGTTTTTTTTTTTTAAGAATAACCGAGAAGAAGAGCGTTGTCCATAACCTGTCGCACATGCTCGAAGGATTTGTTTGTTTTATAGAAAAGAGAGAACTTTCCGAAGAGTTACGGTTGATTTTAGATAGTTTTGGATTCTTAACGAAATTTCAGAAATTTAAACTGATTTTTAAAAAATACAAGAAAAAAAGCAATAAAAGAAATACATTAACATTTTACAAGTGGAAACGTAAAGTTTTCTACAATATTTATATCCACGGAGTAAAGCTTTCAAAATAAGTGATGCGTAATACATGGACTTAAAATTATTTAAAAAAATATATTGTTGCATACATCCACAAACTTGACACAACGCTCATATTTGTAACGAAGATTAATAAACACATCAGCTTTTTATATCAGGTCGTGCATCGTTTTATGTTTATTTTTCTGTGATTTGGTACAATTTTCATGGGAATGCTCCTCAAAGAATTGAGTTGTGTAACTAATGTTTTCATTTAATACAATAATTAGAAATTTCTGTCTTTCCTTATCACTACATCATACTGTTAAAATTTCATTTTTATTTATTCCTTTATTTACTTATTTTGTATTTATAAGTGAGATTATTTTAATTGCTTTATCAACTTTATGCTATATAATGCTATTTCCACAATTGTTTTCATACTTTCTAAAACGTAGATAATGTTATGAGGATGATGGCAATAAACATGGAAATATTAACAAAATCAAGGATTAGCTACAAGGATGTTTTTTCACAGTTGATCCTTTCTACATGTAGATAATCAAATGATGGCAATAAACAAGGAAATTTAACAAAATCAAGGGAGACTTGATTGTTAATCAAATATTGATTAGGGATGTTTTTCACAGTTGCTTTCATCCTTTCTACATGTAGATAATGTTATGAGGATGATGGCAATAAACAAGGAAATGTTAACAAAATCAAGGAGACTTGATTGTTAATCAAATATTGATTAGCTACAAGGATGTTTTTCACTATTGCTTTCATCCTTTCTACATGTAGATAATGTTATGAGGATGATGGCAATAAACATGGAAATGTTAAAAAATCAAGGAGACTTGATTGTTAAAAATATTATTACAAAAGGATGTTTTTTCACAGTTGATCCTTTCTACATGTGATAATGTTCTGATTGCAAAACAAAATATTAACAAAATCAAGAGACTTGATTCTTAATCAAATATTGATTATCTACAAGGATGTTTTTCACAGTGGCTTTCATCCTTTCTACATGTAGATAATGTTATGAGGATGATGGCAATAAACATGGAAATATTAACATAATCAAGGAGACTTGATTGTTAATCAAATATCAATTAGCTACAAGGATGTTTTTCACAGTTGCTTTCATCCTTCCTACATGTAGATAATGTTATGAGGATGATGGCAATAAACATGGAAAATTTACAAAATCAAAGAGACTTGATTGTTAATCAAATATTGATTAGCTACAAGGATGTTTTTCACAGTTGCTTTCATCCTTTCTACATGTAGATAATGTTATGAGGATGATGGCAATAAACATGGAAAATTTACAAAATCAAAGAGACTTGATTGTTAATCAAATATTGATTAGCTAGAAGGATGTTTTTCACAGTTGCTTTCATTCTTTCTTCATGTAGATAATGTTATGAGGATGATGGCAATAAACATGGAAATATTAACAAAATCAAGGAGACTTGATTGTTAATCAAATATTGATTAGCTACAACGATGTTTTTCGCAGTTGCTTTCATCGTTTCTAGATGTAGATAATGTTATGAGGATGATGGCAATAAACATGGAAATATTAACAAAATCAAGGAGACTTGATTGTTAATCAAATATTGATTAGCTACAAGGATGTTTTTCACAGTTGCTTTCATCGTTTCTAGATGTAGATAATGTTATGAGGATGATGGCAATAAACATGGAAATATTAACAAAATCAAGGAGACTTGATTGTTAATCAAATATTGATTAGCTACAAGGATGTTTTTTCACAGTTGCTTTCATCCTTTCTACATGTAGATAATGTTATGAGGATGATGGCAATAAACATGGAAATATTAACAAAATCAAGGAGACTTGATTGTTAATCAAATATTGATTAGCTACAAGGATGTTTTTCATAGTTGCTTTCATCCTTTCTAAATGTAGATAATGTTATGAGGATGATGGCAATAAACATGGAAATATTAACAAAATCAAGGAGACTTGATTTTTAATCAAATATTGATTAGCTACAACGATGTTTTTCACAGTTGCCTTTATCCTTTCTAGATGTAGATAATGTTATGAGGATGATGGCAATAAACATGGAAATATTAACAAAACCAAGTAGGCTTATAGGTGCTGATATCATCGACGCATGTTTTTACGATCTTTCTATCTGTAACCAAATATTGTCCGATACTATAAACTTTCTATGTTATATTTCTTTTAACACCAACGTCTTAACAGCACTTAACACTTTTGCCTCGCTTTTCATGCAAATAATGGTGCTTAAAAGCTCTCATCCAAGCCAAGAATCTGTTCTCCTCGAACTTTGAGTCGTATCGTCACATATAATTTCTATTAGCGTAACAACCTTTTCTTAATGTATATCTTATTATAGACTATAGATAATGGTTTGTTTTCGTTTCTTTTTTAACTTAACTTCTGTTGCTGGCATACAAACGAATATAGATTAAAACATTCTGATAAGAAAACTAGGGCAAAAGTGGTAAAATAATACCTACAGCCGATTAATTTGAACATCGGTTCATTTGCATGTAAACAAGAGAATTTAATGAGAAACTACAAAGCATTTCCCATTTGTCTATATTTTTGAGATGAAGTATTGTAATTATTTAAACTAATTACATTGTTCGGACTATTGCTCTCATTTTTATTGATGAGCTAAGATGGAAGGTACTGGAGAAAGCCAAGCCGTCCAAATAAAACATCACAAAACTGAGTAGCTGGCAATCAAAACTTTACGAAGAATGATATCATTATATTGACAAAGTCAGTGCGACTGTAGTGATGGAGAAAATGGAATATACAGAAAAACTAGAAGACGTCATTAGAAAATGCACAACAAAGATAAGGATAAGAGTCCGAACAATGGAAATAGTGCAAAAAGCATTTCCTCCCGTTTTTTTTATTTTATTTTATTTATTAATTAACTTAAACACACACACTTAATCAGGATATGGATATAATTCAATAAAAGCCACTGGCATGCAAAGAGTTAATGACAGTTTAAAAAAAAAATAGAGAACAATAAAAGAACAGGTTTTACGGAAATAGAAGATGACTATTGACGTTACATTTAAATTTTGAAAGGTAGTAGTTGACAGGAAAGCCAGAAGCTGATAATAATAAAGAAAGAAAAATCCAACACTCTATAACATCAACTATGAATACGGCCGCAATATTCTGACTGTGTTTGTAAAATAATAAAACATTCCCATCACTCTACACATTTGCTCATTTTTTGTAAACTTTATGTCCAGAAAAAAAAAAACTTATAGGAAAGCAATGAAAATTAAATAAAGATCTTAATCGTAGTACTTTGTTAGTTATCTTTAATGAAACATGTATAAAAGAGGGATTGCTGCCCAAACACGTCAGATTTTCATGTATTTTCTCAAAAATCTATAAGATATATCGCAAAATCATCAAATCAGATGTGAAAGCAATATTTCATGTGTGGCTGAATGGTAGACTTATAAACTTTCCAAACATTTTTGTGTTGCCATACTGGATTCTTCAAGACCTAACAAGAATAGAAATAATCTCTTAATGTTACTTGTACCACGGTGATAGTCCAAGGTAGAATCAATAAAGAAGAACTCGAACACGTATATGGAATAACACATATATATTACAAACAGGAATATATACAGAGAAGTAGAAGTGTTAGTATGAACAATCAGGTTTAGTAGAGAGAACAATGTAGTCTCGACCAGTATCACTATTCCAATGTCTTGCAGTAATTGTCTGAATGCGACTCTGTTTCGGACTGCCTCTGACTCGACTGACTGACTCGCTCGCTCTGACTGACTGATTGACTGACAGACTCCTGACGGGCTTCACTCCAGACTTCAGACTGAACTCTCTGCTTCCTCTTGAGGCGCCGTATTTATTACGTATGGAATAGTCCATTATGTTATTATGGGTAAGG